AGGGTTATGGACACCTGCAACTAACTTTAAACAAAGAAGGCTTTGTTACAGGTGCGTTGTCACCCCTATTGTCTAAATTGTTTAAAACCCTTGTGGCCGGTAGACAGCAGTGAGAGGTGAGGTACGTGTCTGCGTACACCATGACATCCACCAAAACCGCGTCGAGTATCTTGATTCGGGTAACCAAAACGAAGGCGAGCTTACTCGACTCCGTTCATTTACACTTAGCCTTTCGTCCGAATTCCATAGGTAATCGAATACGGGCAAACGACCAAGCGTAATTGCGCCAGGTCAAACGGAGTTCTAGCCGGAAAACGAGTCGAAATATATTGAAATAGTTTTGCTCTTACCCAAATCTCATTCGCAAAACCGGTCAGCCGGTATACTCTAATATTCGTTTAATTTAAACCATTTAGAAAGGCAGATTAGTATTGCCTTAGCGAGGGCGTCAACTGCTTTGAGACTATTTATACTTATTATGTTTTTTATTATTACGTGGTAGAGCCATGCAGCAGTAAGTAGTATAGTTGTAGCACGAATGGGTCGGCTCGACCGGGGAAGGACCACGCTCTCACAGAATACCAGCGCAAAATAGCAGCTTAACACCACTGTGCTTCGTATGGTGAATGTAGACAACGTGAGATTCCTTTTACTGGAAACGAGGCATTTCATCTCAGTTCTCACGGGTGAAACGCATCTGCATTTTGGTTCATAATTGAGGATACATGTAGACGTCTATGGGCCGCGGCAAACGCTTGCTATCAGGTGGACTTTGCGCTGGTTTGTCACCCTTATTCTATAAAAATAATTAAATACCAGCGACCCGCCCTGGTTTTGCCTGGGTGGGATCTATTAATATGATGTTATTAAGATTCCATTATTAAGACTGATGTTATTAATACTGCCTCGTCGGTCTAGTGGTTGTAGTAGTGCGACTCCTGTCATGAGGTCCTGGGTTCGAATCCCGGGTCGGGGCAAAAAAATAATTATTAAGTTTTTCCGTCAAGAAATTCTCAGTAGTTGCCCGGAGTCAGGAAGTTGGCGGTGTCTCGGAAAGCACGTAAAGCCGTTGGTCCTGCACCTGATCTCTCTCCGATCGTTTCGATTTACCGTCCCATCGGATTATGAGAGTGAGGGAATAGAGAGTGCACCTGTACTTGCGCGTACACTTGGTCACTATAATCCTGTCCTGCACCGATGTCTAGCCTCCGTTGAGGCAGGCCGCCTTGGGCGAAATTCGGTGCGGAGGACATTATTATTATTATTGGTAAAACTGTAACTATTGGCTGCCTCAATTGTCTAGCGGTCTTAAAAACGCAGGTGGTGATCATGAGGTCCCAGATTCAAATCCCAGATCGGGCCAAAATCAGTTATTGGTGTATATCTTGAATAAATTTTAAATTTTAATTATTATTTTTATTATTACTATTTTTATTATTATTATTACTATTTTTATTATTAAGATTTAAAATAATCAAAGACCATTTTTTTAATATATAAAATTTCGAATAAAATGTAGTCTAGACCACTCCCATCTATGCTGTCTACATGTTCTTGAAATTGTATTATAGTCGGTTCAGCCATTTCGAACACACAGATGCGACCAAAGACACGGACGTCTGTCCCTGTCCAGACAGATATTTTTTAAATGGTTATTCATGTCTTAATTGCATGCAAATCACCCCTTTAGCTCCAATATAAGGCAGTTATTTCGATAGTATCGACAGGCACTTCCTTTTTACTTATATATATATATATATATATTACAGTCTAAACTCCTAACCGGTCAAAATCACTTTTGACAGAAAAATCAGACGAAAGTAGTTTTGACTTTGGATGTTGGTCAAAACTACTTTTAAAAATATTCTATATACATAAACATAAACACTCACGCCTGTCACGCAGAGGGATAGGCAGAGACTACGGACTTCCATTTGGGACGATCCTGACATACCTCTTTCGCCTCCTTTACATCCATATATCTACGCATACATGTTCGTCGGTTAAGGGTACTTCTAACGTGGCCCATTTTCAAAATATCGCCAATTTGGTCGATAAAGTTTTTCCTAGGGCGTCCTTTCCCGACTCGACCGTTCACATCTGCCATATAAATTTGCTTTAATGATTTCTTAAATTTACGCGAACACTACACAACGCGATAAAATCCGTAAATAATAGTTTTATTCAATAAATTTGCTTTGTCACTCTTTCCTCATTCATTCTTTCTACATGACCAAACCACCGAAGCATTCCTTGCTTAATCCTGGTCACAACATCATCTTGCATACCACATTTATCTCTTATCACGCAATTTCTCACCCTGTCATTCAGATTCAACCCTAGCATATTCCTTAAAGACCGCATTTCTACAGCATTTATTCTACTTTCGTGCTTCTTCTGCCACACCCAGCTTTCACTACCATAGATTAAAGTAGGGACTAACACAGCATTAGGAATTACCATACGTGCCTTTTTTGACACATTCTGATTCTTCATAATAGAGTGTAGTGCCCATATTCTATATATTTATATAATATTAAGGTTACAGTGATTTTAACCAAATTCTATCGGTTAAAAATGGTTTTGATTAAGAATGTTAGTCAAAACTACTTTTGACTTATACTTTTTGAAATTAAAAATTCAATTCTAAAATTATATTTTATATCACTATAATGTACGCGTCTTTACCACTACCACGAGTTTTAATCATGAAAAACCATTTTTTAATAAAACAGTTTTAAACTAAGGAGGTCCTTAGTTTAAAACTGTTTTATTATATTATAGTTCCTTAGATCAAAACGATTTTTGCCTGATTTTCACAGCGAAAAGCGGTTTTGACCGGTTATGAGTTTTGACTGTGACATAGAGATTATATCAATAATATAAAAATGTTATGTACTTCTGGCTCTAGCGAATACCAATCAAGTAAGAGTATATTCGAAAAAACTCCCCTACTGATGTCTACTAACGCTAAAGATGCTTGCAAAAAAAGCATTCCATACTAAGATGATGAAGAATTATAGAGAAACACGCGCCTTCAATCATTATCAAATGTCGAAGTTAGAGAAAGCCACCGACAATGTGATTTGTGGCAGAGGGGTGCGTGCGTGCAGCGAACCTGCGTAAAGAAGTGGCATAACGCTTCTGTGTTGTGTCTTGTGACGAGTGAGAGAGAGAGAGAGAGAGTGACGAGAAAAAAAGTAAATTATAATAATTTCCGCACGGAACAACTTCTTATTATTTGTTTTTTATAGAATAAAGGTGACCAACGAACACACAGTCCACCTGATGGTAAGTGGATGCTGTAGCCCATAGACATCTACATCTATCCTCGATTAAGAATCAAAACGCAGATCATTGCCACCCTTGAGGACTAAGATGGAACGCCTCGTTTCCTGCAAAAAGGGTCTCTGCTTCTCTACATTAACCATATGAAACACAGTAGCATAAACGTTGGTATTCTGTGAGAGCGTGGTCCTTCCCCGGTCAAGCCGACCCATTCGTGCTACAACCATGATATAGTTGCAGCATTGCTCTACCACGTATAAAAGTCACGACTAGCGACATCTATTGAGCCTAAGATTACATACATCACTACATCCTTGTTTTTATTCTCATCAAGATGTCACTTACCGCGTTACATCAACGAAGACGCTCTACGTAATGAACATTGAATACGACTTTTTATAACAACTTACAATTTCCGTATTCAGCGTTATATACTTGTCGCAAAAAGCATTTGTGTAATAACGAAATAACTATGGAGTAAGCACAACGGGTTCCTATATTAAAAAACGTTTAATTTTCCCTCACGACTCGTTTTACAATTCAAAGTACATCGGAAAACTGTTTATGTATTACTACTATTAACTAGCAGGTAAGAAACACCCCTTTTCTGTCGAGGAGTTCGTCTGAATGGGTACCGCCATCTTTACCATATTTGCCGCCAAAAACAGTGCCTGCACTGCACTGTATTCAATTTTTAACGGGCTTTACGGCTCTGGGTTCTAGCCCTTCTGCGTAAATTTCTAAGGGTAATGGGAGCCAGTATAATTACAGATGATGAGGCACCTTTGTCTTCAGAGGTGACATCGCACCTGTAGCCATCTTTGAATTTGGTTGCAGGTATAATAAATATATAAAATTGAAGTGTCTGTAATATCAATAACAGCCTTTAACTAAATACATATGAACGTTACAATTAACAAAAAAAAAAACAATTTAAAATTTTTGTCCCTATGTCTGTTGCTAATAAATATCTGAACGCCTCGATTTATTTGGACGGGACAATTATTTTTAGGGTTCCACGCAAACAAATTCTTACTTTACTTACTTACTTTAAACATGATAGTATATTAATATATACTAAAAATTATTTTATACCAATGAAGTAACGGGCGAAGCTGGTCATTAAAATAATGATTTTTATAAAAAACAATCTGTTGTTATTATTTAATTATATTATAATAATAAGAAAGGAAGAAGAATCCCTTTTTCCTGTAAAGAAACAGACCTATATAGTAAGACTGACAGGAAGTCGCTGGATGCAAATAGCTCGGAATCATATTTCGTAGCATTTGACCTTCCCGGTACGTGTCCGGCAGTGGACTTGTGAAGTGTTAAAATGATGATGAAGATGATGATGATAATGATGTTTTATTTATTTATTTATTTATTCTTTATTGGACTTTATACTATGTAAGTATAGGAACAAAAGGCGGACTTAATGCTAAAAGCATTCTCTGCCAGTCAACCTTTGGGCAGATACTCGTATAACTAGGAAGGCTACTACAGATAAAAAAGCACAATATAAATATAAAAATTACGCATACAATTACATATAAATATATACATATATAAACATTTTCATATAAACATATACCGTATATACAAAGTGTATTGTATGTGTGATACATAGTCAAAAAACAGAAATAAAAAGACAACTGCAATATTGTGTTAATTTCTATTCAATAGCTTATCCTCATTTGTGTTTGTTCCAGGGTTCAGACCCTCGCGTGGCGACGTGTCGCGGTCGCCTACAAACTCGCCGCTGCCAACTCAACCAGGAGATCAATAAGGAGTTGCGGCTACGAGCTGGTGCCGAGAATCTGTTTAAGGTAAGCCTATTGTTGAAACTGATTGCCTCAGTAGTCAGCTGTAGTAGTGCAACTGCTGATCACGAGGTCCCGGGTTCGAATCCCGGGTCAGGGCAAAAAAATTCTTAGTAGCAGCCCTGAGTCAGGAAGTTGGCGGTGTTCTCACCCCCGTGCCTCGGAAGGCACGTATAGCCGTTGGTCCTGCGCCTGATCTCTCTCCGGTCGTGTCGGTTTACCGTTCCATCGAACTAACAGAGACACTTAAAGACTATAATCCTGTTCTACGCCGACGGTTAGTCTCCGTTGAGTCTGGCCGTCATGACCGAAATTCGGTCTGGAGGACATTATTATTATCGTAGTTGAAACTGTAACTAATGGCTGCCTCAGTGGTATAGTGGTCGTAAAAACGCAGGTGGTGATCATGAGGTACCAGATTCAAATCCCAGATCGGGCCAAAATCAGTTATTGGTATTATATCAAGCAGCCTGGAGGCAGAAAGTTGGTGGTGTTTCATCACCGCGTGCCTCGTATCTCTCTCCTGTCCTGTCGGATTACCGTCCCACAGAAATCGTCGTAGACAACATTATTACGATTTCTGTGTACCGTCCCACACGGAATATAAGAGTGAGGAAATATACCATGTATTTGTGTTTGTACATACATACGTGACCGAAATTAGTTCTAGAGAACATTATTGTCATTATTGTCGGACCACAGGATAAATAATAGGCAGGGCGCTGTACCATCCAGTCTTAAACATTACAATTTGTAATATCAATTTGCATTCGACACAGAACATAAATGGAAGCCGCAAACAAAATGGCGTCCATTACGTCGAGAACAAATCGCTCGCTTTCTCCTCTTCTCCCAAGTTAATGGCTATGACCCGAAACTAATGAAAAATACCATAAAGAATTAAAGTATTTCCCATCGATCTTAATCAAGCCGGGCACAGGCTATCACCTTGTAGCCGATAAATAGTTGATTGCGGCGGAACATATGTAACATCCTAAATAAAAGAATTTAAGATTATTTTTTATATAAGCATAAAATAAAAAAAGTTATAGAGACACGCTGCAGCTATATTGTAATTGTAGCACGAATGGGTCGGCTCAACCGGGGAAGGACCACGCTCTCACAGAATACCAGCGTGAAATAGCAGCAATGTACTATGGGCCAGCATCTACTTACCATCAGGTGGACTGTGTGCTCGTTTTTCACCTTAAAAGAAATAAATGAAAAAATCAAGTTACTGCAGTTTATGGACACTTTCAGCCAACATCAAACAGCGAAGGCTAAACCATCAGATTTTTCTGCAATCTCCCAAAGCCCTCTTACGACACCCACGGAACGAAATGGGAAGAGCCGTATCAAGTTTGCTTAAAGGCCTCTCCAGCCTGACAACTGGGATAAGAAACAATGATTTAAGAATAATAAAGCTACATTCCCATATGCACCTCACCGAGAACGGCTACAGGAATTTAAACCTAGGATCACCGATACAATATCGGATATCTGTCCACTGAGGTGGACGTTACCAATAACAAAAACCATAACTAAGACCATGCATTACAGCGTCCCCATAGACTGCCTTAAAGGGGAATTTTGCTGCGCGCCTTTGTTGGTTTGGGAACATCAGGTTTTTTATAATTTCGAGTTATTATCAGAAATATGCTGCTGGTTTCTATCGCGTCTTACGACACCCACGAGACGAAATGGAGTAGTAGATACACTTACAGTAGTGGGGGACTACGCGTTTCGGTCGGTACGTCCAAGGTTAAAGGTGTAAAAACCAAAAAGGAGGGGTGTTACGGTTCACCGCGTTCGCGACTCGCCTTTGTTAACTTGCCTCAACTTTAGAGTCAACGTACGGACGAATAAGTCAGCTTGTGTTTGAACTCAAAGACGTTCGAAGTGACGATTAACGAAACCAACCGAGAAAGCTTTAATGGGGCCCATTAAGCTTTTTGGTTTGGTTGCATTGGTATATCTATTCTTACGGACACGGTTGTCTGTAATAAAGGTTAGATTAGTAAGAGTAAGGTTTTACTTGAATTGAAACAGCCAGATTAGTTTATTTTAATTATTATTTAAATAGCATAATGCCATATGGTAACCTCCTATAGAGTAATGCGACTGTCAGCCCTTGTTTTGCAACTCTTCTAGTTTCGAGTATAAATTAAATCCAAATGTCTCTTAAACAAAATGTTTGAAAAATCTAGCGTCTCAGTTTAATTGCGAAAATCTAATAAATAGAAATATAAAGTATATGACACCTAAACAAAATTAGTTACGTTAGCAGTACGTGATAGAGTTGTAGTTCGATTGGGTCGGCTCGACCGGTGCAGGACCACGCTCTCACGGTATACCAGGGTAAAATAGCAGCTTAATACTGCTTTGTTTCCTATGGTGAGTGTAGAGAACCGGAGACCCTTTTTACTGGAATCGAGGCATTCCATCTTAGTCCTCAACGGTAACAACGCATTTCTATTTTGATACTTAATTGAGGATAAATGTGGATGCATATGGGCCACAGCATCCACTTACCATCAGATGGACTGTGTGCTCGTTTGTCACCCAATGCTATAAAAAATGGTTTCATTAAAAGGTTATGTACTTTCATTAAATACTATGAACAAGCACAAGCCAGAAATATCAGTAACTCGACTCTAAAAGGTCTGTAATTCTTGCGTGGGTAAATGTATACGCTTTTACAACAAAGTCCCAAAAATATTCTAGGCCTAACAACCACAAAGTCTAAAACTTTTAAGAAACAAAAGCTGTATAAAAAACCTTTCGTTATAATAAATAATAACCGCTGGAGCTTTAGTATTTCTTTGTAAAAGGGAATGCCGTAAAGAAATGAATAAATAAATTATGTGATCGCAATCACGCTGTTTCTAATGTATTAATTCAATGTATAATAATTTACATATAATAATAATTTATAATGCAGTCAATAGTAAATAGTTTTTTAATAATTCTCTTCGGGAGAAAGATATAAAGAAATATATGGAACCAGTAATAGGAACATAAATGGCTCCTATTTTGTTTTGCTGGTCGGTCATCCTTAATGGATAGCTTCTCACAGCCACCACAGCCTTTAAAAGTCCACAGCCACAGGCCCCTCCCAAAGAATTTACTTGTAATCTATGTTAAAAAACTCTATTCTATTCGAGCACGTTAATTTTTTTTATCAGGACATGATTACTAATGGGAAAAGATGATGGTTAAAATAAATGTAAGGCTTTTAAAGACTGACAGTGCGATTGTGTAACTCCGGTGAGAGTCAACAGCAGTCTTAGAGTATGCATAAACTTATATACTCTAAGGCAGCTGCATACTTCATTTGGACGTTTGTAGCAAATTGATTAGTTCCGACGTATATACTCGTTTGTATGTCATTGCTCTAAGGTCGTATTGTAAAAATGTATTGCTATCGATTTCAATTGATACAGACATTTTAATAATCAATTATAAACTTTTAGTAGAAAATACAAACCGACTTCATAACTAATAAAATATAAAAATGTTACCAAATACTATCTAGCCGGTGTTGTGAAACAGAAACTTTTTTATTCAGTATACATTATAAATAATACTTATTGAAAGTCACTTAATTTTTTTAATTTACCACTGGTTCGGAAAAAACCTATGTCCTGGAAAGAACCAGCAAGAAACCCAGCGGAACTTTAAAAAAAATAACATTAACATAACATAACTTTACAATCAAGTATGTTACAATAATTAACAACACAAAACAAATTAGAAATAGATTGATAGCGATCACCCTTCCCAGAGGTTATTGTCATCCATAAATTCCTTAATATTATAATAACCCTTTTCATACAAACTTACTTTAAAGTTTTTGAACTTTGTGCAGGTCAAATTTTGTATATTTTCTAGGATATTGTTGTAAAAGCGTATACATTGTATATGTGGTAGAGCCATGCTGCAGTTATATTAGTAGTATAGTTGTGGCACGAATGGATCGGCTCGACCGGGGATGGACCATGCTCTCACAGAATACCAGCTTAAAATAGTAACTTTATGCTGCTGTGCTCCGTATGGTGAGTGTAGAGAACCGGAAATCATTTTTACTGGAAACGAGGCATTCCATCTTAGTCCTCACGGGTGACAATACATCTGCGTTTTGATTGATAATCGAGGATAGATGTAGATGTCTATGGGCCGCAGCAACCACTTACCATCAGGTGGAATATGTGCTCGTTTGTCACCCTATCCTTAAAAAAAAAACATCGCCCCAAGAAGGAATTACAGACTCGGTGTAGTCGTAGTACTATTATTTATTCTGAGTCGAGTACTAGTACTACTAGCTTGTGTCTGTTCCTATGCTAAGACAAAAAATTAAAGACTTATTTCCCTTTTGAGTTGAATTCAAGTTGATAGGTATAAATATTTTAATAACAAAAATAAAGCTTTAAAAAAATTTAACTTTAAACTAAAAAAATAAATAAAAAACTTTTGGTAAATCCAAACATATATGCCTTAATCGCTCATGTTATACGTCAATTTTTTAAAGTATTTTAACACAAGTTTTCACAACTTATAATTTTCCGATAATTTTATGGCAAACGTCAATAAAAAAGTTTGGAAAATCCAAAAGTGCACGAATCATAACGCTCATATGATCGTGAGAAAATGTAGAAAAACATCTCAATCAACAATAGAAAGTATCACACTATTGGGCCAATTGAGCAATAACAAGCTAACCAACTACAGGATAAGACGGGGTAATAGGTTCTCCCATACAGCGCATACTCAGTCTATTCTTCATTTAATAAACAATTCGCTTGCAGGCGACAACGAACAGGAAACTCCGCGAAACGGTAGCCCTCGAGCTGAGCTTCGTCAACTCAAACCTTCAGCTGCTGAAGGAGCAACTGGCCGAGCTCAACTCCTCGGTGGAACTGTACCAGAGTGACAGGTGAGTTGAATTTATCGAAATTTTATTTGATTTTTAAGCAGTTTCTCGTGTCAAAGAGTGTATAATTAATACGTTTTCTCGTGTAAAGAAAAGTTCTCGACTGTATTTCGATATTGTTTTTTCTTTCATTTTTTCTAACATGTACTAACCTTTATAGAGTAGGATTTTGTAGTTCAGTTTGCACTCACTTCCAGGCGTCTAGATAATCTAAAATTTTGTAGACGTATTTCTACGTAGTAGAGCCATCATGCTACAGCTATATTATGGTTTGGCTCGACCCGGGAAGGACCAGCTAATATAACAGCTCAATGTTGCTGTGTTTCGTATGTTCATTGTAGAGAACCGCAGACCTTTATTAATGAAGTCCCCCTGATAGTGAGTGAGTGGAAGCTTTGGCCCATAGACATCCACATTTATCCTCAACTAAGGCACAAAATGCAAATGCTTTGTCACCCCTGAGGACTAAGATGGAATGCCTCAATTCCAGTAAAAAGGGTCTCCGGTTCTCTACACTCACCATACGAAACATCAGTATTACGCTGGTATTCTGTGAGAGCGTGGTCCTTCCCCGGTCGAGCCGACCTATTCGTGCTACAACTATAATATAGCTGCAGCGTAGCTCTACCACGTAAAAAAAACAATATACAGTATATTTTTTTAAAGAATTGATGATGATCAGTGATCATGATCAATGCGTGTTGTTAAAGTTTTCTTAAACTCTGATATTATTATTTACACTCGTTATATTATTTGAAACGTTACTGCCATATGTATTTTTTATATCTTTACATATATCGCGTATGTAAGCAAACAAGCAGACCTATTATTTGTATATAGGCCATATTTATACATTCATTAAAGCCTATCAAAGTTCTGCTGAACGTAGATCTCTATAGATTGCCTAATAGACTAGATTTTGCAATGCCATGCTTGACTGGCGGGTTTTCAACCTCAGTTTTGTATTTTCTATTTGTCATTACAAGCTGATGTTGCCCATCTCCTTGTATCTTATATAGAATATAGTACGTGAGAGTAATATGGTCATCCGGTTATAATATGGTCACTTTCTTATAACTCAAAAACTATAGTCTTTGATTAGGTATATAGACATTTATATAATTAAAAACTATAGTATTGATTGCATACATGGCTCTGTGATACAATCAAATAATAAAAAGTCAAAAGGACGCTGCTTTATCGACGCCATTTTGACAGTCGACACATTAATACTACGTAGTGCAATTATTTTTTCTGTGATAATACTTTTAATTACATACATACGTAACATCAAGTAAATGTTTTAGTCGATTTTAGTATTGTGGAGTGTAGTAAGATTTTTTTAAAATTTGATTTTCGAATTGTTCCTAATTATTGCCGAAGTTTGTTTGCATTTTTTTTCTTAATATATTAGTCATAGTATACGACTTTGTGTTTTTGTCTCTGTCATCCTCTTAGTTTTGGTTTCATTGGGCCGCAAAAAAAGAGATTTATAACCACAGGAAGAGAATTATATTAATAATTGATGATGAAGATGACAAATCTGAACCATTTATAGGAGAAGAGCCCGAATTTTCGCTTAAATATGTTTAGTCCTGGTACGTCTTAACTTTAATATCTTGTGGAAGCCTGAATGTCTGGTAAATATAATATAATTTAAAGACTATGTCGACGGCTCCATATCGCAGTGACTATGGATTTGAATCCTGCACGGAACAAGTGAACACAAATCAGGAGAAACGAGGGAGGGTAACGTTCATTTAAAAATTTTATTTTCATCCGATCTCGATTATTATCTGCGTCGATTTAGTTCATCCTATAATAGCACTGCGTCGTTGAGATATTATACTCCTATGCTCTGCATACGGCTTGACCGATTTTGACGAATTTTTTATGGGGTTCTTATGTAGTCTCTTGGATAGTTCATAGTTGGAGCCGTTAAGTGGCGCTGTTATTGAAATCCAAAAACCGCACGTACGAAGCCGGTGCAAATCGCTAGTAATAAATTAGCCTAAGAAGCCAGTTAGTTATGTTATAAACATTTCAGGTTAAGTTGAACAATTTCAAAAAAAAAAAAAGTTTAAAAAAATAACGTGTCATAATCTGTCAAATTAGTTTTTTTTAAGTGTAGCATTCGCGTAATCATAAGAAATCATTATGTAAATGGATGCATATGTAAAATGTGATACCACGAAACTGCAGGAACATCAATACATTTAAAAGAAATACCTAGATATATTAATTTTGACTTATTAATTTAATATTCCCCTACCTCGAAACAACTTTCCCCGCTATTGTGTCAAAAATAGAACTTTATTTATTTATTCAAAGAATCGTCTAATAAACATCAGACATGTTATCGCATCGCAGAGTTTCTCGCGTAGCATGGCATCTTGTAGCAATCTGAGCGTATTAATTGATTTATGTCAGCCAAAACAACTCACAACTCCATTAATCTTTTTTATTAATATGTTTTTAAAGCTATTCTATGCATATAATTAAATAAATAACATTTCTTCCGGTCAGTTATATGAAGACATATTATACGGGCCCTGGCATCGGCGCGGCAGACTGGAGGGGAGTAACCATAGTGTTTTTCTCCGATCAATAACTGTCTGTCATTTTTTGCGAGGGGAATCTGCTCACACATAAACATAAACACACATAAACAATCGTCTGTCACTAAGAAACTCACACATAACTGTTAAAAAAAATAATTATATAGTGCTTTCCAATCGGCTCGATTCACTGGCGCTGCGAAGAGATTCTGCATCTCTTTGCGTATTTTATCGCATCTATCACGGGGAGTGTAGATGCGTTGTCACCCCCAGGACTTGGAATGCCTCCTTAACTCCTTAAAAAGAGTCTCCGATTCTCTACACGTACTATATAAAAATACAGCACCATTATTCTGTTATTATGAGTGAGTGATCCTTCATCGGTCAAACCCATCTAACATAAGTAAAAAAAAACATGTCAGTCGTAGGACTGCACGTCAGAAGTGAATACTTCATAGTTTCACAAACTTGTAAACATTATTTTTGCGTTGTTAAGAATTATTGTTTAGGAAGTATTTTTTATAAGAAATATAAACTAGCTATGTACCCCGGCTCCGCACGGGTGATATCTGGAATCTACAACAGTGCCACCTACCGGATACAATTATGCCTATAACCTTAGTGTAAGCAATATTATGTTGACAAAGTTTTACCACAATCTATTTTTTTCTCTCGGCTCCGGGTTCATTTCTTTCAGAATCTTCATTTTATATATTTTTTCTTCACAATATGCTGATGCGTCACATTGCGAAACTCTTGGGAGATTTTGACGACAGCTCAACCCAGCGGACAGTTGATGACGACAGCCACTCATGTTCATAAGGCGCCCAAGCGATCATATTAACTTGAGGTTTATATCGACATCAAAGCACTTGTTTCGTCGTTTTCTCTAATAGTTCACACGCGCGGACACTTAATTCACAAAATCACATCACTTTTCCGAATTAGAATCCACTTCGACAAAACGCTCCGACAGTCCGTCGACGACCAAGTTACCGCCAAAACCTACCACAATATAATGAACGGTATGGCCACAGAGTAAGGAGTAAGGACTTTCTTTACTCATGTGGTATGGCAGCGCATAAAATACGAACAAACAAAAATTAATTTTTATATATTAGATTATTTTTATCTACGTATTAATATATAATACGTAGATAAAAATAAAAGATAATAAAAAATAATTAGTATCTATACTTACAAATAAAATTTTCACTTATTGCTCCGTTTTACATGAAAAAGAATGATTATTATCTATATAATACAAACAAATTTTTATAAAATATCAATTTTATAACCAATTGGATTTTCAACATTACTATCATCAATTTTGTGTATCTGAGCGTCTTTTTTTGCGCCCGAAGCAAATAAGGGCAACCCTCCAGTAATGGTGGAGGGAGGTGGTGAACGCTCATAGCAGACCCTCCTTGGGAGATAGGAGGGCGCAAGGATCTGAGCGTCACGGTCACGCGAGTTAAGAGCTTTTGCCACATACCAAAAGTGTCCAATGTGTCTAAAGAATTTTTCTCTTAAAAAATATTAAACCTGCTAGATTTACTCTCTCAACAAGATTATATCTCAACTTGGAGCTAATTTAGCGAACCTTGTTTGGATATATCCGTCGAAAGCTGATGGTCCAGTTAGTTAGTCGGGTTAGACATACCAAACACGAATATGCACGCGACTTCTCTCTTACTAAACGTGTCGGTTTTAAATCCTCGGTTTCAGTTTCTAACAACCGGTATGTAATTTCACTCGCGTTTATGGAATGTTTGGCATATTTCAAACGAAGGAAAGTTAAAACCTGACTGGATACAAACGGATATATGATTCACAAATCACTGAGATTTAAGTTTTTGCAATATATGGTAGTCAACTATTTATCGGATAAGGGTGACAAACTAGCACACAGTTTATCTGATGGTAAGTGAATACTATGATCCATAGACATCTACATCTAACCTCGATCAAAATACCGGAGAGTGTACAGAATCGGAGATCCTTTTTACTGGCAATGGCACAAGGCATTCCATCTAACTCCTCAGAGATGACAACACAGCTTACATTTTGATTCGTAATCGAAATTAAATTTAATAAATTTACTTCCATAATTATATTTACTTCTATAAAAATATTTCCAGAATGGACAACCCTATATGTAGAAGATTTAAAAAAAATGATATTTCAACAAGAAACGATTTGGAGTCATTCCTACATACAATTACTGTTACAAAGTAAGAATAGAATAGAATAGAATATCGTTTATTTCTTAGTATATGGTAATTACAGATGTTGAAATTATAGAATGATTCACATATACTACCGTATCCGGTGTAGAAATATTACAATTAGAATAATATTTAACACTTTATAGTTCTTATTTAGACAATTTATACATTTATAACATTATATAGGAATTATCAATTGTAGATATATATTATTATT